ACCATGACTCAGCCATTCTCTCAAGGTCATTTCATAGGTTTCTCAAACACAGTGCTTTTCCTTTGGGGGTCTTTGGGGTCCGGAACTACAAAATAATACATCCTTTATCTATTCTCATCCTTAATGCAATAATGCTGGAAAAAAATAGAAATCTTGGATTAATGAGGAGGTGAAAAAGAGGGAGTGGCTTTTGTTATTTGTCAAGAGCAGACTTCATCTTGGGGCTATGGGAGATGCAAATATATGACATGAGCATATCTACTTCATTGCCTAATAAACCAGGAAATTCATTATCTTCTCTGTAGATTATCCCACAAAGTGAATTTTAAAGACAAAGAGAAAATTTTTATTTATTCTCTGGAGGATCCTCTGAATACTCCTGGACCAAATTAAGTCCCAAAAATGTCCAGCAAGTAATCAATTTCAACTGTTAATAATTTTTCTGAAGTTTGACGAGGACAACAAAGTATAGCTATGATAGAGACTCAAGACCCTTCAAAGGCATGGAATCCCATAATACTTCATAAATACAGATAGGTGCAGAAAAGATACAGGAAAAACTAGACTGATCCCTGTGATATCGGATTAGAGTCATAGACATCAGTATGAACACATATTTAGCTACAGATAGGTAGAAAGTTATACATGGGCAGATAGGTATAGGAAAATTATAAATATGTGTGCAAAAGGTGTTTCTTAGTATTCCTGCTTTGAGGGCCTATTAGTAATGGTTCCCCAGTAGCAATGAAAGATCACAGCACCCACGTCTTGACTTCTAATGTCATTCTCTATTTAAACTATTTGGAGATGTGTCTGCTTCTAAAGTGTGGTAGGGGAATTATAAGGTAAGCCTGGAGCATTGTGTCATGGCAAAATAAGAGCTGGGATCGCTAAAAACCAAAGTATTTAGATTACATCAAAGGGGAAAAAAACTAACTTGAAAGGGCACCTGCATTCTGTCACTTATTCTTTAATACCAACTAAGTTCCTTGCAATTAATTAAATATGATACTACGTGGTGTTAGCACAGTCCCCACAATTTAAGAGCTATAAGCTAAAAATAACATTCTAATCCCCCACAACAGACTGAACAGACCACATCTTGGTCAAGGGATCTCCAGAAACACTTTTAAAACTGAATTGCCAGCCATGATGGTAAATGAGGTCAGATGTGCCCCATTATCTCCATCCCTATTGAAGTTTAGGCAAAAGTGGCCAGTATTAATATAGAAATACAGATCAAAAGAATGATAGAAGAGACTCTTTGTGACTAGAGATACCAAATTATAAACAAGTCCTAAGTCCGTGCAATGCAAAGGTTAGGTCACACTTTAAAAAACCATAACATCTGGTTAAACAAGACTTGTATTAACCAAGTATAACGTGGCTTCCTTTCCAACCTGACTCTATTATAGCATCACATGACAGAATAAACCCCTTACCTTAACTTTAGCACTGTTTTGTACTGACTTCCAGTCTTCAGATAAACCTGAAGTCTCTCAAACAACAGCCAATTAAAAGATCCCCAAAACCTACCCCTTATTTGTAAGCCTCCCTTCGAGATGTCCCAATTTTTGGTCTGAACTAATGTGTGCCTTCCAGGAATTGGTGTAGAGTTTTACCTGCAATGCCTGTCCCCCTGAAATATATAAAACCAAACTGTAGCCCAACATTTTCTGGGCCTTTTGAGACCATGTTGCACCAGGCCAAGGTCATTCACGTTGGTTCAGCATAGACATCTTTAAAACATTTTACCAAGTTTAGGATTTGCTCCATTGCCAGGGGAAAAAATCTTTCACAAGAGTTCCCCACTTCTGATGCCAGGTATCTCCCTGCACTTCGCAAGGCTAACGAAAAATGCAGAACTTTCCACAAATCCCCCTTATTCAATAATTTCTGAGAATGATTCATAGAACACAGGACAGTACAATACTAACAATTGCCAATTTTTTATTTAATATATCGATAAGCAGTCACATGAAATATGTAAGGCAAGGTCTGGAAGGTCTAGGAAAAGTTCTAGTAAAAGATTACTTGGAGAAGTGGTTGGTTTTTGACTGGGGTAGGGAAATTACATGGAAGCATGGGAGCTTTTGTCCCTGTAGAGTCAGGGTGCACCAACCTCTTAGTCCACTGATATTTCTTTCCCACCAGAAAGCTCCCCCAAGCCACAGAGTCCAGAGTTTTTAATGTGGTCTCATTACCTAGGCATGATTGATAAAATCATTGGCCATGAACTGAACTCAAGTTCCATCCGCCCTTCACTTCCCAGAGGTCTGGCAGCTGCAGGTTCAATGCAGTAAATACACGGTTGGTGTTTCTGGTGACGAAACCCCACCCTGAAGAAATTTAAGGTCCACTGCCATGAGACCTTTCATGAGTATAAAAAGGGCATTCTTAACCTTCAAGAAATTCCAAGAGATTTTGAAGCTCTGAGACAGAAACTAAGATTCATAACAGATATTTTTTTAATTTATACCACATATCCCAATGACAAAAGCTGTAACATTTAAGGGATAAAAGAAATAACTTAGTGTTGAATTATGACACAAAGTATAAAATAAGTGTAAATGAGTTCATGCTGATATAAATAAATAAATGAATAATAAAATAAATGGAGAAGGAAAAACCTCCTTACAATTTACAGACACATGCCAAGTTATACGTATGAATAACTACCCCTCCAGCAACTGTACCTTAATTCAGTGCCTTTCCACACAAACACACATACTCACTTTCATTTGAGCTAGGCTTACAAACTCCCTACATTCCATCTGCCAAAAAATGGAGTATGGATTATAAAACATAGTAACCTTATAGTGGACAAACCTGACAAATACTACCTTAACAGATCAAGATTATCATCACTGGAGATTATTCATATGAAGTTCATGAAACTTCTGACAGTATATGATGGGATGGGATGGGATGGGATGGGATGTGCTATTCTTCCCCAAACCTATAAACCAAGTCTACCCATCCAAAAAAAAAACAGACAAAGTCATTTCCAGGGACATCCTAAGAAGGACAGAGACAGTACTTCTCAAACCTCTCAAGGTCCTGAAAAACAAAGAAAAACTGAAAACAGGAAAGGCTGGGGAGGCGAGGTGACTAAATATAATGTGGTGTACTGCACTGATCCTGAAAAAGAAAAGAAAACAATTTTAAAGCTGGTGAAAGATCTGGAGTTCAGCTAATATAAGGTACTGATGTTGGCATTTGAGTTTTGACAAATGTGCAATAGAAGAATGTTAAAATCAGGGGTACAGGATGGAAAATGTGTGAGAACTCTCTGTGTTAGCTTTGTACATTTTCTCCAAATCTAAAGTTATTCAAAGATAAAATATTTATTTAAAAATATAACTTTTTTTAATACAGAGAATCATATTAAAATCGTTCCTATGTTTGTGGTAATATAATTTTAAATTCTTTTGTAGATGTCCATTTTGCTCTCTTGGTGACTCCAAAAGCAGGAAAACTCCTCACTAAATTTAATTGCCTCTTGCCTTTCAGCTCCAAATTGGTACCCATATTCTGCTCCATGGCAGACAAAGGTTCATTATAGACTTGTCTCCTCAACTTGGAATTTTAAAGTTTATATTGAAAACTCTTTTTTGCCTCTGAAATCAACTTCCCTCAAGAATTAATCCACAACCATCTACTTTCTGAATATTTCAAAATTGTATTTAATATTTCCCACATAAAAAAAATCTCCATTCACTTGCTGCCTTCCATCTGCACTCTTTGTAAAAGTCAGCTGACAGTCTTCCCATGTTCCTTGTTGTCCCTTGTGAATTATTATTCAAATGTTTACCCAAAATTAATTTAAAATGTTAATCTTTCTCAAAAAGTGTTATCATACTCCAGGCTTGGTTCTGTGGCTCACACCTGTAATTCTAGATATTTGGGTGGCTGAGGCAAGAGGTGTGCTTGAGTTTGGAGTGCGATATCAGCCTGGGTAACATAGAAAGACTTTTTCTCTAAAATAATAATCATTATCATCATCATAATAATGTAAGTGAATAGATAAAAGAACATTACCATATCTCAAAGGTCTACAGTTTCTTTTAGGAAATAAGGTACAATATTCACAATCTGGCTTCCATAGCCAACAAGAATAAAAACTATTTTTTTCTAGTTTTATCCAAGACAATATGAATTACAAAACAGAGACAAGGTCAATACCCCCAATCTCTTGAAAAACAACCATCTTTTTCTGTTTCTGTAGCTATGAAAGAGTATCTGAGACTTTGTAATTCCTAAAGTAAAGAGGTTTCTTTGACTCACAGTGCTACAGAATGTACAAGAAGTATGACATCAGCATCTGCAACTGGTGAGGGCCACGGGTTTCTTCCACTCATGGCAGAAGGCAAAGAGCAGCTGGCGTGTGTGGAGATCACATGACAAGAGAGGAAGCAGGTGGTAGTTGCTGACTCTTTAGAACACCAGCTCTGGCAGACACAAATAAAGCAAAAACTCACTCATTACCACTAGGACAGTGTCAAGACATTCAGAGGGATTTTCCATCATGACCCAAATGCCACCTATGAGGCCCATGCCTAACACTGGAAATGGAATTTCAACATGAGATTTGAAGAGGTCAATTATTCAAAAAACAGCAACCACCACATGCACTTTCATTTTGTGAAAGTGTCCATACACTTCCAAGTTCAAAGATATGTGAGGAAAATTAAATATCACAGGATGGGCTTTGCACATTCAAAGACAATTTCAGTATCTGTACATTATTTCTGGGTGATTTTATGATATTGGAATTTCTCCACTACAACCATTAATAAAAATGCAACTATATAAGTACTTACATATTAAGTGCATAACATTTCATTTACTATGGTCATTTATATTTACTATCTTGTATTGTCCCATTCTCCTTTCGTAGTCTTCACCTTTTTTTCTGCAGTGAAATAAGTCATAATTGTTCTTAAGACAACTTTAGGTCTAAGTGTATTGATAGTTGATTATGGTGCCAGACAAACAATTCACATTTTTCTGATGATATAAGAGAGTTGTGTAGTTTTTTGACAGCAGGACCTGCATATATTGGGGTCATGGCGTATGAGAACAAAGGGACTAAAAGTTGGAAAACATGCAGTGATTACTATGGCAGTGTTCACCAGCCACCAGTTGGACTTATCAAAGAGAGCTATATAAACATAGATGCTGAAGGAAAGGGCATTAAATGCCACAAAAGTGCTCACCAATGCAAGGATGCTTTGGGTGGCCCTAGTCTCAGGAGAGGATCTGGGGGAGTGATTGGTCCTATGAATGTGTTGGACCTGCTGCCTATGTCTATACAGGATAAAAACCATAGAGTTGCTGGCCCAGGTCACGAGTCCCAAACACAGAACATCATGCAAAGATGTCAATGCTGCATACAACGGGGTCACCACTTCATCGTAAAATGGAGCAGAACAATATCCAAAATCTCTTTTCTTTGTGAAGTTTCTGTTGTTCCATTTTTCAGTATAATTAGAAAAAATGGTATTTACCAGCAAGTGCAGGGCCCAGCAAAGGATAATGGAGTGGCCATTGTACTTGAGGGCTTTTACTTTAAGATCTACCCACCTACTGGAGTTCCTAGGGTTGATGGTGATCATTTGAAAAACACTCAACAGACAGGTGGCACCGATGGACACACTCCTGGCCACCCTGTGAACATATAAAAGAACTTCACATTCAAAATAAGTGGCAAAATGTCTCAACCCCAGAGCTGCCATTGTCTCTGGAATTCCTCTAGAGAGAATGACCAAGGAATTGGCTACAGTCAGGTGCCTCAGAATCAAATTTGTGGATCTTTGCCCACATCCCCTAAAGTAAAGAGACATGTAATAATACAAGAGAGAAAAGTTCCCCAGGATTCCAACAACTACCTGGGATAAGATGATCATTCCAAATGTCAAATCCACAGAGGCCATTCTGTCATTTTGCAGGACTCAATATTCAACAAGCAGAGAGTTCTGTGTGTATAATGAGTTATGGGTTACATTGTGATGGAAGATAGCATCTGTACTCATTATTCTTTCCTTCTAAAAATTAAAAGCAAATATATACATATACTTTTTGGAAAGAAATTTCCTGTCTCTTTTTTTTATAGTACTTACAATGCATGAGTCACTTTCCTTAATGCTTTACCTATTATAACATTAAATAATCATAACTCACAATTTAAAAGTTAATGCTATTCTTCTTTGACCAACAAAGATAATTTATTCACAAGAAGCTGGGGTGACTCATCTAAATCCTGATAGGAGTGTCAGGACTTAAAGCTGTGTAGCCTGAACACAGATGTTAGTGTTCACTACTATGCTATATAATAACAGTAAGTGAGCTTTTTTCTTTATTTCCTTCTTTCTTCATTTATGTATGTATTTATTTAATTATTTATTTATTTAGAGTTGGAGTCTCACTCTGTTGCCCAAGCTGAAATGCAGTGGCACACACTCGGCAACTCCAGCATCAACCTGCTGGGCTCCAGTGATCCTTCTGCCTCAGCCTTCCCAGTAGCCAGAACTACAAGTGTGTGCTACCATGCACAGCTGACTTTTTACTTATCATAGAGACAAGGTCTCATCAAGTTACCAGGGCTGGTCTCAAACCTGCAGACTCAGGAAATTCACTCACCCCAGCCTCTATAAGTGCTGGGATTACAGGCAGAGCCACAGTGCCTGGCCAGCTAGTTGTTTTCTTTAATACAAACACTCATATATGTATACATATCTTTCATATATAAAATTTGTATTACTTTATAAATTTGGTTTGATGATTTTCTAATTTTGTCAATTTATTCTATAGACCAAAATAACTTATGCATTAATATCCAAAGATCTTAGTATATTACAGATGCACTGAATACTTTTATATGACCCAACTTAATTTATTTAAAATAACAATTAGACTGGTTTAAAAAAAATTCATTTCATTTTTCACATGGACTAAAAATAACATAATCCCCATTAACAAGTTACTGTTCAAAATTAGGTTGTGCACTAAAAAATGAAGTATGAAATATAAAAGTGATAAAGTATTTTAGGGAAGAAAATTAATCAATCTTCTTTAAAGATTATATAATTATATATGTCTCTTAGAATAGCTAACTGAAACTTGAATTAATATTTATTTGGGGAAACTATGAAAAATATAACACAAACATGCAAAATGGAATCTGAACACATGGAATCTTGTGAATTTAATAAATTGAAAAGGGAGAAAAATAAGTAGAGAACCTGGGAATAACGTCATAATGTTTTTAAAACAGGGAAAATATAGCAGGCAGTAAACCATCTTCAAAACTTTTTTGTGATGAGACTACATTTTAGATTAATTTATTCTAATAAAATTAAAATTTTATTAATTATGTCATTATTGTTTGCAGCATGAAAACCCCTATTATGAGGTTACCTTTTTCCTAAAGGACCTTCCCTAATTTCAAGAAGGAAAATAGTCTCCTATGATCAGCAGACAACAGATATTTTCAGTAGAGACACATTTACTGTCTCCATTAAGTATGTAATAGTCAAATTACAGAAAAACAGTTATATTCCAACAATTTCTTTTTGGTCACACTGTTTCTGCAGTGAATTAGATAATTTGGTTAGCTCCACCACATTCATTTGCCCATGCACAGAACTTTCACAGAAATCATTATAGTTCTCCTGAAATTCCCTATTTTCTGCCTGGAGGTATTGTACAAATTCAATGGGAGATGAATTTTGAAAATACAATCCCAAAGCACATTAAAACCCAGATTTTGATAACACTTGGATTAAACACCAAGAAGCACTACCATGAGAATTTTATAAAATTACATTAGCGCTGGGCTCGGTGGCTCAGCCTGTAATCCTGCGCCTTTGGGAGGCTAAGGTGAGTGGATTGCCTGAGCCCGCGGGTTCGAGACCCGCCTGGGCAGCGAGACCTCATCTCTACAATAAATCAAAAAATCAGCCGGGCGTGGTAGCGCATGCCTGTAATTCCGGCTACTCGGAAGGCTGAGGTGGAAGGATCGCCGGAGCCCAGCAGGTCGAGGCTGCGGTGGCTGGGTGCGGCCACTGCACTCCAGTCTAGGCGACCAAGTGAGACTCCAGCTCAAAAAAAAAAAAAAATTACATTAGCAACAGTCATGCTTAAGAGTCTCAGTCCACTAGTCTCTCTCCCACACTCAGCTAATGTCTCAGGAATTAGTCCTTCTTGTGTAGCTCTGCCCCTGGACCAGTTACTATCTCAAACGTGTTTCTTTTCCACACATGGAAACATACCCAGACTCCAGGTTTACCTCCTTCCCTGACAGGCTGTGTCCCTCGCACTGAAGAATGAAATACCAGACTGCTTCATGCCACCAGGACAGTGAGCTCATTGTGAAGAGCATTAAGAGTCACAGCATGTGAGGGAGGCAGGAAGCCAAGCCTGAAATATGCGTTTGCCATGCTGTGATCTCACCTCCCCACAGAACTGCAATTATCATGTCACCCTTAGCAGCAATGCCAGTTCACGCTTGGGGAGCTGAGAAAAGTTCTGAAAACTTTTGTATTCCCAGAGTCTATTAGAAGTTTCTAGTTAGCTTAGCCTAAGAGACCACTGGGGTGCTGGAGATCTCTTCTCCATTACTTCTGAAAGAAGACAGGGTCTCCAATGGAAGGAGCAGAAAATGTTGGTGTCTCGCCATTTTCATGAAAGACTGATAGAAGCTCATAGATCTCACTGAATTAACTGCTTCCATGAGAATTTCTCCTACCCTAATCTTAATCTTTATTAATCCTCAGAACCCTGAATATCACTAGCATTTAATCTGCAGGCAAAAGAATCACACAAGAGACTCAAAATACTTTTTCAACTGGGTAAATGCAAAAGAAAAAAAAACATGATGTTAATAATTGATTAGAAAATATTTTTTCTATTTTCCCAAAGCAATACCAATTAACTAGAAATCCTTGATGAAAGGGACATATTATAAAAAATAAACTTCACCAATATTGACTTTAATCGTTAGAGATTTAAAAAACAATAATCATAGAGAAAAAGGAGAATATTTTTTCAATAATTCATTCCTTTTTAATGAAGGATAGATTTTTGTTTTGTTTTGTTTTGTTTTGTTTGTTTGTTTGTTTGAAAGCAGGATTTATTGAGAGGACAAAAAATCTGATAATTTTAATTGTATTAAAAAAAGTTTGTTTATCCAGCCTCCTATTAATACCAGGATTTTCCTTTTTTCTATAATTTTAGCATTGTGGGATTTATATGAGTATTTGCTAAATAAATAAATTGCATGCAGGTGATATTTGAACATCTAGTGAGCCCTCTCTAAACAAGAGTTTTATAGGAGTCTCATAATTGAAAGCATCAGAATGAGATTCACAGGCAGATTTTTATTTTCTTTTAAATGTTAGAGATGCCAGCATTACTTACTCAATTCAAGGGCATTGAATTTAAGTACCAGATTAGGAGAGTATGCATGGCGTTCCATACAGTTATTTGTTTACTGGCTAAAAACTCCCTCACAGACAATGCTGTGTAAGTTGGTGCATTGTCATGATGCAATAACTCCTTCAGTCCTGTTTTTTGCACACACCTCTCTCATGCGAAGATTTTCAATTAAGATTTTCCGGTTTCTCTATTGATATTTCATTTGTCTGCTATGCTTCTCACAGTCAACCAACAATTGTGACACACAGCTAGATGAATTTTTCAATGTTTTCACCTGTTCTGCTTGTTACTGGCCATCCTGACTTATCATCAGTGATGTTTTCTGTCCCCTCAGAAAAACATTGAATCCATTTGTATGCCATTGTTTTCTTCATGGCATTATCCTCATAAATGTGGACTAACACGTCTGTGATTTCACTTCCACTCTTGCCAAGTTTAACAAGAAATTTGACATTTGTTCATTGCTCTAATTCAAACTCTCATGATTACAACTGTGAAGGCTATTCCAGAAAAATAGTTCCAAAATTGCTTTGGTGGGTGGACTTCAAGCTGACATCAGTACATAACTTCCCAAAGGGAATGCTTTCAAGGTGATCATAGTGATATTCAACAATGAGGTATGTAGCACTTTTTCTAGGACAAATGTACAGATTTCATTGTCAGACAACATATGATGCCTATGTGAAGTTTGCATCTGGAATTTAGAAATGATCTTATATTTGGAAATTCATTAATATAGTCCATCATATTTATAGATAGAGAAATAAAGGAATTCCACTCATAGTTACAAAAACACATTTGGAAGAAATAAACATGCATTAATATTAAATTTAAATACTCAAAATTAGAAATTGATGGATTTTTCCTACCTTAGCAAAACCAAAATTCCCATCTTGCTCATGAAAGCACTATGTGTATTCCACTAAGGTCAGAAAACAACACTAAGAACATATAATCACCTGTGCGATCCATTTATCATTTTACTGGAGGTTTAGCCAAGGTCAGTAAAAATGACTGAAGAATTGAAAGCAAAGACATGAATCTATGTTTGCAGATGATATAATTATAAACCTGAAAACACAAATATATTGTTAGAAAAATCCACACCCAAAGATAATTCAGTAAGCTAATATAACACAGGATTGATACAGAAAGACAATTATGTACAAATGACAATAATTTACAAGTTTATAGTGGGAGGGGTTGACATGACAGATGAGGCAACATAAACTAGATTTAAAATGACCAGAATCCTAAAATATTAATAAAAGTAGAGAACAATCCACAAGACAGGAACTATCATAAGGAAAATACAAAGGAAAATTTCAGATGAGTAAAATGATTTGCAATCTATATTCCGTCAAGGAACCTCTCAAAATATTTAAGTTCCTCACTCCTACACTGCTGGTGGGAATGCAAATTAGTGCAATCTCTTTGGAAGACAGTATGG